TTCGCAGCTGGGATTGAACACGGCATTACAAAGCGAGTTCACAATGGCTAAGACATAGACGCCGACTATATATATATAATATATATATATATATATATATATAGTGTGTGTGTGGGTGTGTGTGTGTGTGTGTTTGATTGAACAGAAGGTCTTTATCATCGCGACCTGACACGAAAATCGCTTTGTTCCCTGCTAATTTCCCTAGTTTTACGAGTGTTATTTCTTAATGTATCCCCAGTGTCCTGCTTTCATGTACCTGCTTGTCGTGCCCTTGTATCTTCTTGCAAGAATCATACCGTCCATTTTTCTTACATTTTTGTGTTTTATGGTTGGCTTTGTGGCAAGGCCCGAATTTTGCGTGTAGATCCGTATTACTGGCTTATTTGCGTATAGCGAGTTGTCCATTGTCGCTCGGGCAGATTTATTCCGACTTCGAAGGAAGCTCCTAGTTAATCAATTCCTACGACATGCTTTTTATTTTTTTTATTTTTTTTTTTTTAATTGGTAGGCAGTAGGTCTACTCTTGTTTTCTCCACAAGAAGAGCCCCAGAACCCATACGGCAAGTGTCATAACAGTTTGTCTCAATGCCCAGTTTCACCCTCGGTCTACACCGCAACTTTTGCTGGGGACGCAAGATGACTTTCACCAAATTCCTATTTCGACCATAAAGTTATTTACTCAGCCTTGTGAGTTGAGTTAAGCTGAGTCAAGAATTGACATCACAGCACTCGGGGCATTCCTATTCATGCTCCGTCTTCATCTTCAGAGGTACTGATGGTACCGGTCATGATCTGGTTATGTGTCCGTCTCGTCTTTCCTCTGAGTGTATTGAGCCGGCCAGACCCTTTGGTTACAACCAGGTGCTTTATTCTCTCCAGGCCATAATAATCTGGTTTCTATACTGATTCCATTGTTTGTTCCTAAAGGGCATTGACTACATCTGCCTTGTCATGTTTTTATTTACCCCCTAGTTGTTCAGATCCAGCCAATCTGTCTGCCTGTTCATTACCCACCATGCAGAAAAGATCCAAAGTATGCTCACTGCCCGTGACCTTTCAGCCTTTCGACACACACAAAAAAACACCGCAAACAAAGCATTTTCATTCCCACTCTATGCTAACAATGCAAGGCTTAGTCACTCACCATAAACTTGAAAAGAAAATTAATAACTATGCAAATAAGATGTCTAAAAAGGGCTACATGGGGTAACCAGACGAGATACAAATGGGAATAGGGTCATAACAGATAAGGTTGGCACATAACCGATTCTTAATGACATACAAATAAGCAAACCAAATAGTTTACCCCTTTGGAGAAAATGCGTTATGATGCAATACCATACAAGGCATATACTGTAAGAGAAGAAGGACACAAAGCACGAGGTAAACAAGATGAACAGATAACATCAGAAAAACTCTACAACAGTGTGACGTGTCTATGTTTGAGTCTGCCAAAAGAGCAAGAAGTAAACCTTATACCTCCCTCGACACCCGAAGCTGTAAAAGAGGGAATGAAGAAGAGAAGAATAAGACAGGTTTAGCGCAAATTGGCGATCATAAATACAGCAATAACTCAACCGTCAATATTCTTTGTGTGCTTTGAGAATTGCATCTTTTATTCTGCACTCTATATTTTTGTTTGAATTTGTACCTGTGTTTCAATGTACCAAGAATAATATGTCCTGTATATAAGAATTTGAACTGCCCCACACCAAGCATACTAAACCGCTGTGTTTCACATCAATAATAAATGTAGGAAAGACAATGGTTTTCTGTACATTGCTGTATTACATAGATCCATTATTAAACTGAATTCAACATTCAACATTTTAATTTTCATGTTTTTCAGTATACACTACTTGGCAAACTCGACGTTTTCACGTTGAATGATAGTTCTTTTAAGATAGAGCACTCTATCTCCCTCATTCTTCCCATAAGACAAGCACCATAATATATTTTATGTAGATTTATCCATTACTGTAAATGGCAATGATGAGTATAACTATTTTCCCATATCACACACACACACACACACACACACATATATATATATATATATATATATATATATATATATATATATATCTGTGTGTGCGCGCGTGTGTGTGTATATGTATATATATATATATATATATATATATATATGTGTGTGTGTGTATGTGTATGTATATATATGTATATATATATATATATATATATATATATATATATATATATATATATATATATATATTCATTCCTTTTTTTAACTTCTAAAGATCGATATTTTAATAATTTACACATAAAACTAGCAATATGTTTTACTTTGCGCAATTATACAAACGCTTTTTTTTTTGGGGGGGGGGGGGGGTCAACATTATAAAATTGAATCCCAATAACATTAATAATGTTTTTTCGTTGTTTTTTTACTGTGCTCAGTAAGACAGACTATGACATCTGTCATTTTAAACACGCATAAATTGTAGGTATTAAACATTTAGGCTGTAAGTAAACTATTGCCATGTTTAATAATACACAAAACGATCTTTCTTTTCGTGGACTTGTGACAAATATGCAGTACTTTCTTTTTATGGAGTTTTATTCTGAAGTTGGTACAGTATTGTCGTTTATTGGCATCGTCTCAAACATCATCAACATTAGAATTTTCTGTGCAATGGGTTTGGCTGATGGAATCACCGTTTCTTTCCTTTGTTTATCGATTTTCGACTTAGCCTATCTCATCATATCGTTTGCACTAGGAATTTCGATAGTTCTAGGCGTTATAGAACATCGAACACCTAAGGCTTTTTTCATCAAACCTCAAGGAGTTAGTATAATTCTAACTAACTTCATGGTGCTTGTCAACATTATCAATGTTCTGACAACGACATTTTTAGCAGTGGCCCGATGTATGTGTGTTGCCAAACCTTTGCAGTTCAAGAACTGGTTTAGTAAAACAATAACGCTTGCATTCATTGGTTCATTTATTGTTGTTTCAGTGGTTAGCTATGCGCCTGTTATTGCCAGTTTAGGCTTTAAAACACAGTTTGACATTGGGAAAAATATTACTAGACCAATTCTATGGGTGTCTCCCAAACGGGACTCAATCAAAGTGATTACTTGGATAATATTAAACTTGATATTGCCATTTACTACACAGTTCATTATTGTCGTGTGTATAGTGATTATGGCCAACAGTCTTCGAGTCTCGTCCAGATTTAGACAGTCTGCTGTATCGATGTCTGTTGCGGACAAAAAGGGAAATGATATACTCTCCAGCAAATCGACTGTGCCTACAGATAAATTAAGTGGAAAAGATATACTTGTGGTTCAGCAAGTAGTCCTTATATCTGTGGTGTACATCATTTGCAACACGCCAAAGATGATAATCAGTGTGGCTGCTATCACTGTACCAGGGTTTACTATTGGTCAAAGGTACAGTAACTTGTACCTGAGCGTCAACACTCTTAGATACCAGTTTGAGATTTTTAATTCTTCAGTTAATACATTTATCTACTACAGATACAATACTAAGTTCCGGGAACTACTGCTGACGTGCTTCAAGTAACTTACGTACATTCCTATAGTAGTTACAATTTCGACATGAGCATCATTTGGTTAACTTGTTTTGTTTGGTGTCTTGTCACACCCTTTAAGACGTGACATTCAAACCGCAAAACATGGGTAATACTCCAAGATGATTGGTGACGTGATTAAACGTATAATTCCCAGCTCAACAGTGTCTCTTTTTTAACTCGAGGATTGTTTCTGAACAGCTAGGTTGTGAGAATTTATGCTATAAAGACACTTTTTAGTTTAAAGAGAAACGGTTAGATTAGTTGCGTATCCTTTACAGAACGTTGCAGAAAGATCCCCAACAGCTCCTGGCTGTTGTGTGGTTTTTCTAGGCAAATTTACTTCCAGTAAAAGAGAAAAGATTCGGCTCAATAAATCCTCATAAATTCCAAAATTAATAGAAAGGGCAATGTAAGAAATGTACGCAACAAAATTTAAGTTTGTCCCCCGAGCACGCTCTTTTATGGCAGTGAAAACTCGGACTCTTTATGCTCCTTTATAAAGCGTATTTGCCGCGTGCACTGTTGGTATTTAAATTTTAACAACATTGAAAAGTATTTTTCGACTTTAGAGATAAAGCATATGGCTTGTATAAGAAAATGTTAGTTAAATCCCCCCCCCCCCCAAACCCCTCCTCAATTAAAAACAGTCCAGAAATGATACGTCAGACTCCTTACCAGGTAGTCATAATGTACTAAGGGAGGGTGGGGCCTTCCTGTATAAAATTTGTCTAAATGATTTTTTTTTCTTCAAATGATGCGTGACTACATGATGCGTGATCATGTGCTGAATCACAAAGAAATGCAGCTGTGAAATGCTAGGGACAGAAAAGAAAACCTCTGTACATGGTGACGGTGGGCAGCTTGACCCCTTTGAAAATTGAGGATTGGAAAGGGTGGGGGGGGGGTGAAACCTACTCTTTAAAAAATTAGCCGGTCTGGGGGGCGGGGAAGGGGGGGGGGGGGAGGACGGTACCTCAGACGCCCTTGTTCTGCACCTCCTTTACTCCACTGGTTTTTCCATGAGCTGCAAACGCTTCGGCTCGGTATTATGGATATCGCAACCCTTCGGCCTTGATTCCATGATAGACACCCTAAATCTGAAAGAAATATGGCTTTTCTGCCTACCCCGTGGGGGGGGGGGGGGTGAACTCGGACCATAAGAAGTTCTTTCCCCGGTCGCCGTGCAGAGGGTTTTAGCTAAGTGAGCTAGCGATCCGGGTTCAGTCCACTTGTAATCGCAAATGAAAATGTCTGCTGGGCGTGTTGTTTGACCTATAATGGTGTTAACTGTTATTGTTGTTAGGTCAGCTTATTTGTCTGATCTATCTATTATACCAGAATGTTGTAACAGTGCACTACTGTTATTTCAGTATCATTGACTCTTATAAATTTTGTGTTTTATATCTTGTAAAGGTATGGTAGACTGTTACATTGAATATTGAA